AATATATATACATATATATGTGTATATGTGTATATATGTATGTATATTTCATCAAATAAAGAAAATTATGATAAAAAAATAAGAAGTACTTCAATCTTTGATTCTATTTATTGGGTTTATTTATTATACATACAGAAGGCATATTTTAATATAGCCTTAGGGATATATCAACTATAACTTTTATCTATATTTTACTTTTTACTACAATTTCGGATTGGGACCGAAAAACTTCTCCCATGGAAAATGATCCGAAGTTGAATCGTGACTATTTTGTATAGGAACTTCCCTCTTTTGAATAAAATCTTTCAGTTCACCTATAATTCATAAAATTAAAAAAAGTTTCATATTCTTTCAAGTTTTTTTCAAGATTCTTTTTAAATTTGAGATTACATAAACGTGTATAAAAGAATCCCTTAAATTTTGATGCTTAATATCAAGGAAAAAGAAACTGAACATTATGTCAATTAATAACAAATAATTAATGAATATCTCTTATTTAGAGAGCACATATTCTTTTCCAATTATTATACTTACTATTATTATACTTACTTTCATCCATGTTAATGAAATCCTCAGATTTTGTTTCAATTCCATTTTTATCCTTTTTTATAGTAATAACATGTTTCTTATCGCCTATCTGTTTTGAAATAATTGTCTCTTCATTACCTTCAGTATCTCTGATCATTCGCTTTTTTTCTATAGTTCCATCAGGTCTACGTATAATTTCTTTTCTAAAAGACCTTCCAAAAATATTTGGTACGGAAGGTTTTATTGTTTCTACATTTCCTTTGTTCCACATTTTTGAAAATTCTTCTTTAGAAATCCTAGAATAAGTAGAACAAATTATTATCACATACATCATACCTAATCTTAATTTGATCGAATATTTGAGAAAAATCAAAGAATTGTATTATGCAGTTCATATTTACTTTCCATCTAAATCTGTATCTACTTTGGATTCAACTGGTACATCTACAATGCCAAATTTATCAGACTCCAATTTCAACATCTTGTCTCGTAAATTGTCATATTTTTCAATAAATGGTAACTCCATGGATTCACATTCTATAAAAATAGTTTTTTTTAGATAATATTAATTCTTTTAGATTAATTTATAGTTTTTGATAATTAAGGTTTAAAATTATATATACTTCATTTAAAATGGAGTATAGAAAATATACATTTATAAATAATTATAATAAACTATAAATTTTATATTGAATAAACGTACGAGAAAAAATATTGTTGAATTCCTTAACATTCATGTTGAATTCCTTAACAAAATTTCTTAACATGTTGTCCATCTGTGTTTGAAATAACATTTCGAATGGGTTGCTAAAAATTGGGTTATTAAAAGGTAAATTATGTTTAGGATACCTGGAAAGAAAAAAAAATTGAAATTTATTGAAATATTTTTGAATATCCTTTTTTATTTGAAATATATCTTTTTCTTTACCAAAAATTATTCATATCCTCATCATCATCATCTTCATCACTTTGCCAAATTGGATTACGAAAATTTCCTCGGTATAAATCATGATCACCAAATCTGAAATGTGTTAATATATACTATAATTATATACTATAAATATATATTATAATTTAAAATAATACAATATTGTTACTTTACATCTAATATGATAGTATATTTGATATTATATATTATATATTCTGATATCATTATATTTTCATTAAAATAAGTTTTGCATTATATTATTGATCTAAAAAGTTGTATATTTTCGTGGTAAACTATATTTGGAATTTAATAAAAATTACAGATTTTGAACAATGTTTCAGGATCATTGACAACTTGATAGGAGAACCATTTGACTATGTTATAATTAGATACAGCTGATCCCACTTTCTTAATTATATTATTTATATTACAATGGACACAATTATCAATTGCTAAAGTTAATGGATAGATATCCAAACTATTGTGTAATATAAACAAGTATATCTTAAGAAATGAATATGTATATTTTGTAATTTTTAATATATAAATATTATAAAAATTTTCCAAAATTACAATTATCATGAGATCGATTCTTTAAACATCTAAAATATCTTGCACAGAAACATTTAAAAACATCTTTTTTTTCTACCACATCCAAACTTACCCATTTGTACTAGGCTCAGTGTGACGTTTTATACCGAAGAAATTTCGAAAATAATCGAAGAACGACATTTCTATATTAGTTGGTATCATACAAAATAATCTTCTTTTCTTTTTGCTTGCCTTTAGTTTGTAAATGAACTGACACAGGCCAAACAGCGTAAACAATCATTGTCAAGATAACATAACTAATTGCGTCATGAACATAAGAATTGCATCATGGACATAAGAATATTTAGATCATAAAACTTATCATAAAGCCTGTATCAGGGTTGCGTTCAGAAATATTATCCGTGCCCCTATAAATCAAGATGTCTTTTCATGCTGACGCTCGACGCTTGTTTTTAACGTCAAATTAGATCACGTGATTAAAATTAACACAGAATAATAAAATCTGAATGATCATTTTGATCACGTGATCTAGTTTGACGCTAAAAACGAACGTCGAGCGTCAGCATAAAAAGGCACCTTTATTTTATCCTTTAACATTCAGTATGTTTTCGAACGCAGACTAGATTACGATATATTAAAGGTCGGAGCATTATGATTGGCCAATTTCTTAAGTCTTACATCTTAAAGTCTCATTGTAGACACCGCTTTAATATCGGTATTAGTGTCGGTCCACAATAAGTATTTAATCTTTAAGCCGTAAGAAATTGACTAATCATAGTCGAGTATTCTTTTCATATTCGATTATAATTGGTCAATTTCTTACTTTTTAAAGCTTAAATCACTTATTGTGGACCGACACTTACACAATAAGTATTTAATCTTTAAGCCATAAGAAATTGACCAATCAGTCGATTATTCTTTTCATATTCGATTATAATTGATCAATTTCTTACATCTTAAAGCTTAAATCATTTATTGTGGACCGATACTTATGGAGGTCGTAATCTGTTAACTTATGCCTAACCGTAAAGATTGATCAATCACAATCGAATTATAGAAGAATAATCGACTATGATTGGTTAATTTTTTATAATTATGACGTAAGTTAACAGATTATGGCCTCTATAAATCAATCCTTAAGCCATAAAAAATGGACGAATGAACGAATAGTCGAAGGGGTGACACCCGTTTGATCACGTCCTGATTGACCACTCACAGTGCTTGAAAAGTGGAAAAATTCTAGGAGCCAGCCCCTGTAAGTGGCTAATGATCAATCGGAACGTGGTTAAATGGATGTCACCCGACCGGGACTAAGAACTGACTATGAATACCGACCGTAGTTCCGGGCTTTAGCATTCTGCTACTCTTTGCTGCGCATTAAGGCGCATGCGCGAAGAAGAAAGTTCGATTAAAATATTGATGAAAATTGGACCATTATTACCACGCGCCGCACCATATGCCGCGATAAATTCATGTTCCACGTTGCTGAAGTGACGACTACCGCAGACTACCATGCTGAACTTCCACGTAGCATGCGGTGGTGCGTGGTAACGATAGTTGTACGTTATGTCGGAGTACCGTAAGTTCGGCACAATCGTCGCGAGTGGATGTTGAGATCGAATTAATCAGTGTTCTTAACAGAAGAGTGCCAATCAAGTAGTTGATTAAGATGAGGAACTTTAACATTTTTCTATTTACGATTATTTCGGCATTTGTACTTGCAAAAAACGGAGGTAATACAATTTATTTATTCGCCTTAACACATTTCACGGTGTATGCATAAGGATATTTCTTATAAACGCATATTTCTTATGAAATATGAATTAACTTTTAACTTAAGCTTTTAAGCTTTTAGTTTTCCCATTCTGTAATGATTTATTCGAATATTTTTAAACAAATGATTCATACGATTAAGTGAAATTTTCTTATGTTTTGAAATTTTCAACTTTTATTATGTTAATTTTTGAATGTGTGTATATGAAGAATACTAAAAAACACTTGTCATGAATGGAGTAAAATTTATAATGAAAAAGTTTACGTTCTAATTTAAATTTATATTTATTTTTATAAGTCTAAATATATTTATTTATTTTTATGATAGATTTTAAATAATAATTTTGAATGTAAAAATATTTTATAATTTTTGCTACTATATATATATAGTAGTTTATCATATATAATGTATTATTTATTTCAGTCAACTTAAAAATACTTTAGTATGCAAGATGTTCTAAAGAAAAAAAGTTAATATTCTGGGAAGCTGTGGTATTGGTTATTTTACTAAAAAAAAACAAAATCTATTTTAAATGGTTTTCTAAATAGAGCTATTTAAATATTAAAAATTAGTAAAAGATACTACATATTATTTTAATTTATATTTTTTAAAAATCCATTAATGTTGATGCATCTTATGTGAAAACATCACATGTCGCTCTCTAGGATTATTTCGACATTTCTTAGAATTGATATTGACAGTGGAATTTTGTAAATATATTATGAAGTCTATCAAATTTATCACTTGAACAATAAAATTGAAAACAATATATAATATTTCTTATTAATAATTTTTTAACATCTAAATAGTTGTATCTCAGAAGTCATTTTGGTTAGGACATGTTTATATATACTTTTTTAAGAATAATCAATATTATCACTTTTCAAAAAAATTAAACTTTCCTCCTTGAACATTCTATATAAGTATAGTGATATTTGATAGATTTCTTATATTGATAGATTTGTCATTTAAATTTGCAGGATATGCATATGCTCAAGAAGATGAGAATATCGATGATATTGTTGATGTAGAAGGAGAAGAAGGTAGTATAATAACTGAAGAAGAAATAGAGGAAGATACAAGTAATGCTTCAGCTGACGCTGATACAACGATACTTTTTACGAAACCTGTTCACAATACGCTATCTACCCTTGGTATTTTTATTGAATATTTCAATACTGAGATTAAAACATATAATATTATTTCATGATATTAAAATACATATTATGAATTTGACAGAATTGCCTGCTGGAAATATAGTAGAATTTCTTGTGGGTTTCACAAACAAGGGTGAAAATGATTTTGTATTGGAATCACTTGATGCTTCTTTTCGCTATGCAATGGATTTCAATTTTTATATTCAAAATTTCTCTACATTTACATTTAACAAAGTTGTGAAACCCAAACATGAAGCTACTTTAGCTTATTCCTTTATACCATCTGAAAGTTTTGCTGGAAGACCATTTGGTTTAAATGTTAACTTGAATTATAAAGATGCAGTACGTATGATATTATATAAGATGTTATTACAAAGCATTAAAAAAATTTTTTAAATTTATGACTTGGAAGAGAGAAGAACATATATAAAGTAAAATGTATATATAATAAAATATATACATATTCTGTATATTCATAAGTATATTAATATATTATATTTTTTACAGAATGGAATTTCTTACAATGAAGCAGTCTTTAATGAAACTATACAGATTATAGAGATAGAAGATGGTCTTGATGGAGAAACCATTTTCCTTTACATATTCCTTGCAGCATGTGTCATATTGACTCTTGTAGGAGGACAACAATTGTTATCATCTTTGGGACGCAAGTCGCGTTCTTCTACCACTCGTAAAGCACCTGTAGAAATGGGCACTTCTAATCCTAACAATGTAGATTATGATTGGTTACCAAAAGAAACTCTTAACAGAATTAGTAAGTAATAGAATAATTAGAAAGTAATAAATATCTGCTTATGTTAAATTAAAATCAGAATCGTTATAATTGTTTTAATCATTAACTTTATATAATTGTGACTTATAAAACTATAAAAAGTTCCGAAATTTCATCTTGTTATAACTTGATATTTTAAATAATTTTTTGAGAGTTAATCAGATTCATTTTAAGCACAAGATATTTGTGTGTTAGATATTTTTTTTTATCAATAATAAATTGCCGTTGAATTTTACTTGATATTATAGATATTATGTGATACGTAATAATTGATATTATAAATAATATAGTTACAAATTTCTTTATTAATTTTATATTACTATGGTAAAAGACGTTATATAAAGGTTTAGAATACAAAAATAAATTGTGCTTATTTGCAGATAAATCTCCAAGAACGCCGAAGCAAAGTCCAAGACAAAGGAAAACAAAAAAATCAGCTGGTTTTGATGACTAAATTATATATTGATATTTGTATATCAATATATTTGTACATTATTTAAAACTGAAGAATCTGTATTGCACAAGACGATTAATAATTTTTGAAAGTTATTCAAGATTCCTTAATCTATTTTAGTTATAAAATGTATGAAAAATATTTAATTCCAATACAGAGAACATAAGTTCCTCAAAAAAAAGTTCTTAATGAGACTATTATAGAGAAAAAGTCATCTATGATTGTATATTTTGTAATATCACAGAATATATTCAATCATATACAATTGAAATTCAAAATCAATGGTGCAATGATATTTAATAATTTATTTTTGCACAAACTCTATATGTAGTCTTATACTTAGAATAGTTATTTTTTTCCTAAGATTCATTTTTTTGTACAAGTTGCGTCATTATTATGAATAATATGAATGTGTGCAAATTATAATAAGAATAAAATTGTGATTAATAATTCTGTAATTATTATATCATTTAATAAAAGAAGGGAAACAGTTTTTTGTATAAATTTTTCTAATTATATTTTATGTTAGAAAATATATCAGAATAGAACATGAATGTCTTGATTGAAATGAAATAACACTTTCTCTTATATAGAATATCAACAAAAATCAATTTGTTAAAAAATTATACAACTTTCTTTAAAAAAAAAATGTGATTTTCGACCACCAGCCTAGACTGAACAAAGATCATCTTAATTACTTTTATATCTTCTTTAAAACCAAACAATTTAATAATTCATCTATAAAAGAATACTAGCTATCTCATTCTGTATTTATGTGTATATATGTATATACATATGTTTCTATTTAAAAAATGGCTTGAACTAGACCAACAAGCCATAGATTAGAAGTCACTGGAAAGATAATTGTCTAACAAATAAGATGTGCAATAAAATAAAAGAGTGAAAATACGAGTCTGAACAAGATTGATGTGTATATGATGATGTGTGGATAGTGTGATGAGATGTATATGTGTGTGTATGTTGTATGTGATGAGATGTATATGTGTGTGTATGTTGTTTTACGTGGTATAACCTGAACGCCTATGCTGTACGTACACGTAACCTGAAAAAGACTTATCGTGGATGTACTTTGGCAGTATACTCACACGTCATTATTTCGCGATTGTTAACCGTGATTCGCGATTAATTGTGTAGCAGCACAAGAACTGCATAGAGACTGTGTAAAATGTCAGATGTGAGAGACTGGTTCAATTCCTTACCGATATTCACGAGATATTGGTTATTATGTACCGCGGTTTTGACGTTAGTCGGCAGATTTGGACTTCTGAGCCCGCATTTATTAGTGTTGTGGCCCGATCGATTTTTTAATAATTTCGAAATCTGGCGGGCAGTAACATGCGTCTTCTATTATCCTCTCAGTCAAGGCACTGGCTTTCATTTCCTGATCAATTGCTATTTCTTGTACAATTACTCGTTAAGATTAGAACGAGGAGAGTATGATGGGAAGCCCGCGGATTATTGCTTCCTCCTCTTATTTAATTGGATATGTTGTGTTATCATTGGGCTTATCGGCGACTTTCCTCTGCTCATGGATCCTATGGTGCTCAGCGTGTTGTATGTCTGGTGTCAACTAAATAAAGATGCCATTGTAAACTTCTGGTTTGGTATGCTATTCATTTCTTTTCTTATCAATATCTTGCATTTATATATAATATAGTATTTTGTATATCTTCCAAGATCTGTTGAGGCATCTTGATTTATAGTTATTAAAAATTTAGAATGTTTTTCATCAACTTACATGAATTAATCTGTTGTTAGGTACACAATTTAAAGCTATGTATCTGCCTTGGGTTTTGTTTGGATTTAACTTGATCATCTCCGGTGGTGGAATGATGGAATTGTTTGGAATTTTAGTAGGACACTTATATGTTTTCTTAAAATTCAAGTATCCTCAAGAACTTGGTGGTCCAGAATTACTTAATACACCTAAGATACTTGAAAGTTATTTTCCACCCCAAAGAGGTGGAATTCGATCATTTGGAAGCGCACCTATTTATAGACCAGCAGAACAAAATGCACAAGGCAGAAATATATTTGGTGGACATAATTGGGGAAGAGGTCATGTACTGGGCCAATAATTAAGAAAATTAAAAAACTTATAAATTTATTGAATATGAAATATTCTATTTTATTGTTATCGTTTCTATCTATAATTGGTATAAGAATGGCTCTCATTTCCCAAAGTCTGCGTTACCAATTCTTCCAAATATCTTTTTGTGAATTTTTACATAATTTTAATAATTAAAATACAAGTCCCATATATGCATTTTAGTATAATACATTTCAATAACGAATATGCATATACATAAAAGAGTAAAAAGAATAATTATTATAAATTATATTAACATATAATGTAATATTTGTTGTATGTAAATATATTGATTCATAAATGCTGGTGATAAAGTTCAAATTTAAAAATAATTATAGTTTAATTTTCTTTATAGATAAAATCTTTTTTTTAATTGACGATTTGTATTTAATATTTTTATATTTTTTATATGGAATAATTAGTTCTCTTAAAAATGACAGTAATTTTTATACAATTTTTAAATAGCTATCCAACAAATTAATTATGCTATTAAACGTCCTCTTTAAAATTTTAAAACTTTTATATCCACACATTTTGATCTTATGCAGAGATAAGAGATGATGGATTAAAATATAATTTACGGTCTTATATAATTTTACGGAGATCTTTAAATTCATAAATAAAATTTGCATATATCAATTTTACACGTTCCAATGGAAATTTCTATAAAATATTTTTAAAGAATTAATCATTGTATGCTCTATCATACATTTAACGAGAACTATTTAAAAACCTTCGAAGTATTTCATAGTGCTTCAATCATGCTTAAGTTCAATTTACTTATGTAATTTAAAAAAAAATAAAAGTATATTTAAAAAATATATAATATATATATAATTAATCAACACAAAAAATTTACAACACATTTTATTCTGTTTTAAAATGTTTTTATTTTCTATGCTTTTATAGAATCTGTAAAAACAAGAAACAAACTATTCAGTAAAACGCATGTTTTGTCTTAGAAATTACATCATGATTTTTTATTGAGGTTATCTCCTCAATGGCAAGATGCCTGCTAGCACATAACACTTTAATGAAGTTAGTGCTAAGCAGGTGGATGGGATGCCAACCCCTACCAAGAGCTCAAAGTCAACTCTTTTCATTATGATGACATTACATGTTATGTATATACAAAAATAACTAATTTCAAGATTATATCAATAATCACAGTTAGATTGTCAAAACATCTCTGTTGTATCAAAAATGAAAAGAGCAAACTAAGAGCTCTATACCTACCAACAATTATTCTTCTGGAACTTCTAATTCTCCAGCATTAATGTCATCTATAAGGTCATGAGGTGGTCTACTTTCCACGGTACATCCTACTGATTGACATGTACCCAAGATTTCTTTGACAGTACCACTGAGTGTTCGAGACATCGATCTTGACCTCATAGCACGGGCAATGGAAACAATGTCATCAAATGTTAGATTACCACTATGCTTGATGTTCTTTTGCCTTTTACGATCTCTGGGTGGCTCTTTGAGAGCTTTAATTATCAAAGAAGCAGCAGATGGCACAACTGAAATCGTAGCTTGTCTGTTTTGAATAGTCAGTTGAACTGTGATTTTAAGACCTTTCCAATCACTAGTAGCTTTAGCAATGTCATCGCCAACTTTTTTTGGAGACTAAAATATGAATATCGTTTATTAAATAATACAAATATACAATGCCTTTCTATATATTTTTTTATATTATTTTAATGGGAATGTTGTAAATGAGCTATTACATCTTTTCACACAAATGAACAGAAACAATTTTCTGTATAAATTGAATACTTTATAGACTTACCAATCCAAGAGGACCAATTTTAGGGGCAAGAGATGAAGTAGCTCCTACCTCACCACCAACACATCGCAAATATACTAATCAAAAAATAAAAATTTTTAGCACGTTTTCCAAGTTACTAAAATTATAAGTTTTCAACTATATGAAAAAACTTCAACTATATGAAAAAATATAAATACCTTTTTTAATTTCATTTGGATCAAATTTAGGAGGCATTTTTACAAATGTTTCTAAGAACTTTAATGAAAAAACGCAGATGAATCTTGATCACGAGGAAACCACGTCTGCAATCCAGAGTAAAGGATAAGAAAGGAACAGGAAATCAGTGAACGGAATAGCGTAATATGAAATAGTGACAAATCTAATCATGTTGCCAACGTGTACTGGTTAGTGGCATATGAAAGACCCTAAGACCTTGTGTCCACGACGCTAGAAATCGATTCGAGATTTCGGATGGAAAGAGAATTGACCAATCGCATTGATTAATTGACCGAATTATTCAAACATAATTGGTCAATTCTCTTTCCACCCGAGATCTCGGACTGATTTCTAGCATCGTAGACACAAGATATTAAAAAGACTCTAGACAATAATAGTTTTTATTAGAATTTACTTTAAAAAAAAAAAAAAAAACCGAGAGCGTCCCGTTTAATTACATTGAAAATATCTACCGTATTGATTAATACTTTCATCAATTTCGGTTAATCCGATTATTCTATTGAACTTGACCAATTGCAATTTATCCACAAATTTAACAAATACGATCGGTCAATTTCAATGAAATAATCGGCCGATTTAATTAATCGAAATTAGTGAGAGTGACCCTCAAAAAATTTAATATTTGATCGACTAATTAGCAATGTGAGCAATCAAGCATATACTACTTGAATAAAATTTAAATTTGAATAAAATTTCTATTTATGTTGGAAAAGGAAAGAAAAAAGATGAACGTGCAAGAAGTTCAACTAAAAAGAACAAGCCAGATCGCCCATGTTATTCACTAAAGATCATTAAAACGAGAACTCAGTTATATTGAATGCCAAGAAAGATAAACGACTCCCTTATTATTCTAAGGTTTCTAGCTTGTACTAATTCTTTAAAGATTATGTCGAAAATTATTTTATTTACATACACATGGAAAAATTAAGTTGGCTCTACTGAAATATTAACCTCTAACTTTGTTTTTGTTTCTACTCTTACAATTAGTGAAAATTCGATTTGTACTGAAGTAAATCCGAATTAAAGGTTTCGATGAAAACTAGATCAATATCGTGTTTTAATCATTAATCATTATTAATTTTGGTATTTTACTTAAATATTAAAATTATTATATGCAAAAATGATATCGACTTTCTTGTTCCGTTAACACAATTTTTATTAATAATTTATTATTTCTAATATATTTGATATTACCTTTATATTGAATACATATAAAATACAATATAAAAAAGTGCATAAAAAATAATACTAATAACGATTAATAATATTTTAGGTGTTAACATGACTGGCTTGGGCATGGATTTTGAAGATGATTTCTTTTTTGAAGAAGATAAAATGTTAGTTATGTAGAAAATTATGATAATTAATTATTATTATGATATATTTGTTTTGCTTTATTACAGTTTTAATGTGCTTTCTTTTGATTGTAAAATGCATGTCTGAATGCCACGGTGCGGTGGAACAGTTTAACAAACAATTCAGCTCAACAATTATATTTACAAAATAGTAGCATACTTCAAAGTTTGAATGGATCAACTCTGGATAAAACTTGTATTACTCTGACCACCGTACCATCGGCTAGCATCGAAATGTATCAACTGTCTATGATGGAAGATCGCATGTATGCACTATTATATTTATTGATTTTTTTTCTATTTTTTGCTTTATATGTTTCTCTTTTTGTGCCAAATTTCAATCTATCTTTTACACTATTGCTTATTCGGACCCAGGCCAGATATAGAACTGGTTGCACAAGATCATTATATACAGCGGCAATCCAACTTGTAAGTTTTTTCAAGTTATGTAACTATTTATTTTTGTTAATAAAATATTTATTATATTTAATAATAAAAAATAGGTAAGAGAAGTCTTGTACTTTTTCAAGTAGCTTCTAAACAAATTGTTACCTTGTTTATATAATTTTTATTATTTTAATTATTTATATGCATTTTTAATTGTGTGTATATATATATATATATATATATATATTACATATATAGATAATAGAAATAAAATAAGTAATTAGTTTTTATTTAGTAAATTAATAATAACTAGATAATATCTAATATATCAAGTTAAGTTTTTAAATGTATTTTTATAGGAAAGTTATATTTGTAGGAATGTTATATGTATGGATTATTACATATTTAAAATTTTTATTTAAATTTTTTAAACATTTTTTATACTATATTTTTTATAATATGTTTTACAATTTCTTGTTCTAAAAGACACAATATTCTGCATATCTATTTAAGAATTCATTTTCACATTAGACGTTTGTTTAAATTTCAGGGGCATGACTATTACATCCGGAAATGTTGTAATACAGAAAGATGCCAGTAATTTAATTGGTATAAGCATTGGCGGTGGTGCACCACTTTGCCCATGTCTTTATATTGTACAAATTTTTGATAATACACCTGTTGCTTTGGACGGTACTCTTCAAGCAGGCGATGAAGTTGTTGCAGTGAATGGGGCATCAGTAAGGGGTAAAACTAAAGTGGAAGTTGCAAAAATGATACAATCTTGTGATTCGCAAGTTAGTATTAATTATAATAAGTTACATGCTGATCCAAAACAAGGCCGTACACTTGACATTGCTCTTAAAAAGGTACATAAATATGATTATGTTGTATGATACAGATTTCACAAAAAATGTATAATTGTATTTTTCTGGATTCATAGGTAAAGCATAGATTAGTTGAAGGAATGGGTAGTACCACAGCTGATGCACTTGGATTGTCACGAGCTATTCTTTGTAACGATGCTCTTGTCCAAAGATTAATGATGTTAAAACGTACAGAAAATTTCTATAGAGGTCTTGTTATGCACGCTAAAGCTACATTACATGCTTTTTATGATTTGACACAAATTTATAAAGGTATAAAGATTTCAAGTAATTATTGCCAAGAAAACTACAGAGAATTATATTATTTACTTATTCAATTATTTCTTTTTAGTATTTGGTGATGCCTTTGCTGCCATAGGAGTGCGAGAACCGCAACCACGTGCTAGTGAAGCCTTCAGGCAATTCGGAGAGCAACATAGGCAAATGGAGAAATATGGAGTGATAATGCTAAAAACTCTGAAACCAATACTGAGTGATTTAGGAACATATCTTAACAAAGCTATACCAGATACACGGTTAACTATTAGCAAATATGCTGACGCCAAATTTGAATATTTGTCCTATTGTTTGAAAGTAAAAGAACTAGATGACGAGGAACAGAGCTGCGCCGCTCTGCAAGAACCTCTTTATCGCGTAGAAACGGGTAATTATGAATATCGCCTGGTATTGAGATGTCGACAAGAAGCTCGCGCGAGATTCGCAAAGCTTCGCTCAGACGTACTAGTCAAACTTGAACTGTTAGATAATAAACATGTTCAGGATGTTGTATGGCAATTGCATAAATTTGCGGCAGGTCTAGCCAAATATTATGCTAACACACGAGATTTATTATCGACAGTAACATTATTCCCTGTTGAAGTCGACTTATCACATTCCGCATTTCAATACAAATCTATCGGGCCGCAAACGTTAACGGATTCGAGTGAGGACATTGAAGAATATGAACCGGAAGAAAAGCAGCAGGACATAAACGAAGAACTTCTTATCGACACTTCAAATTTTTCATCGGATTCAATTAATAATACATAACGATACTTGATAAATTTCTAAATAATTTGATTATGATTCCTTTATAACAGTTGGATTGTACATGAGAGCTTTCTAATTTGATTTTTGCAATCGATACAATTAGAATTAAAATATACGCACATATATACATTCGCATATGTAATGTATATGTGCGTGTATTTATGTGTGTGCAAATGTTAAAACTTTTTCTCTCTTTCATCTTTTTATATCTTTCATCTTTTATATTTAATATATTAAATTATTTAATTATTCTGATTATATATCAAATTTTATCTTCTAACAAAATGTGAAATTAATATAAGTAAAATTTAAACAGTATTTATATAATAAAATAATTATATCCTAAAATAATGTTAATTATATTCTCTGAAATTATAAATAATTATGAATAATTATAAATGTTTATAAACTATATAATATATAATGCTGTATACATGTTTACTTATGTGATATACTTTATTAATATATATTTGCGAAAATAAAATTATTGCCAAAGATATTATTTATGAGTATGAAAATAATATAACAGTTTTCCTATCACAATTTATCGATTCAAATTTTTTAAATATAAAAATGAACGATTTATAATAGAATTTAGAATTAATTAGATTAAAGCTATTGGCATATTTAATGATTACAAATTACAAATCGTAATAACAATTTTGTATCAATCTTTTTGATTTTCAAGAACTTTCGTTTATAATAAAATTGTTTAGAATGTAAATCGTATATAAGATTTATTTGTTGTTGTACAAAAATTTTTTGAATGCATTGATTGGTTATAGAGTGCAAAAGTTTTTAAGTCCAAAATTCTGTATTTTTTAATTATCACATACAAAACACTCATTGGTCAAAACGTAATTTTCGTATTATGGCTCTCGCCATTGGACGCGATGAGAGACATCTTGTTAATCAATGAGAATACTGCTTTCTCTGATATTACAATGTGCTGTGGCAGGAGCGTCCCGTTTGACTACGTCCCGATTGACCACAACCACTCACAGGGGCCAGTGCCTAGAATTTTTCCACTGTTCAAGCGCTGTGAGTGGCTAGTGATCAATCGGGACGAATGCCACCCGCTGTGGCTAACTGTAGCATGCGTTCACGCATGCATCTTTAATACAGATCCTTTAATCACGTGATATCCGGCACGAACTTCCTTCACTCTTCCGTTAGGTACGGAACGTAAGGTCCGGACTTGGGTGTTTGTCCTCTCTTGTAGAGCTAAGGTCGTATCCGACGACTTACACCAATTTTAAGTTCCATCCATCTCTTAATAATAAAATTTAAACTCAAAAAATGACGACCGAGGCCGAATTAGCGTGCGTTTATTCCGCCTTAATACTTGTCGATGACGACATCGCTGTAACCGTAAGTATCGTCATGTGGCTTTATCATGATTATATTATTTATTATCTTTACAATTATGCTACGATTTTGTCAATGGATTCATTTCATTATTCTGTTTATTAAGTAGTACAATTACATT